GAGAGAGAGAGAGAGAGAGAGAGAGAGAGAGAGAGAGAGAGAGAGAGGCATGCTCTTATCTGGTTAGTGTCAGTTCATGGGGAAAAAACGGTTTTCGCTGAAATAAATATTTATGGCTAGTAAAACCAGAGATGGTGTTAGCCATACACAGTCAATTATCAACAGGGACACTCACTGTTCTTCGTCAAAAAAAAGCATCTGGCATATGTCTTAACAGTCAGAAGCCATGCTTGCAAACAAAAGAGACTCTACTCTTTATTTTTTCTGAGATAAAAGGAGTTTCGGTATATATTAAAACAAAACCTCTATTTAATTTTGTTTGTTTGTTTGTTTTTGCTCTTGAGATAGGATCTCATGTAGCTCAGGTTGGCCTCCAATTCCTCATCTTCCTGCTTCAACCAAATTCTGGAATTATAAGGGTTCACAAACACCTTCAGCTCAACAAAACATTTCAGTAAAGATTAGAAAAAAATAGAGAAGGTTAATAACCATGAATGTTCCTTTGCTGTATGTAATACTAACCAAACTAATTATTTTAATAACTATAGTATCTAAATGAATATTGAAAGTCAGTATAACTTACTAAAACAATGTGGAAACTCTGTCTTGTTCAATTAAACTGATACCATAGTAATTAGAGAAAGTAAGTTTACTTTTGCTGCCAATAGGTGAGATGTTTAATATGAAGGATTAAGAACTTTGTGTATTTCACAAGTAAATGGCAAGTCAAACTCTATTTTTGAAAGGATGAATTACAGTAGTGTGTTTTTATAAAGAACATTTGTAATCTGATTAAATGAGTTTCAGGTTTTTATTTAAAAGTCTGTCACACAGAAAGACTTTCTGAGGAAAGGGTTCTTTAGAATTAGGAAAACTGCCACAACAAAACAACCTCAGTCAAACTAAACATTCTTCCTAGTATAGAGTGTATTGAAATAATCAAGTTCATTAATATGGAAATACAAATTATTTTACCCTACTGAGAGTACGTATAAGGTAAATCTATCTAATAAAAATGATGAATTATAAAGTGTAACCCTATACTACTATGTATGTTATTGCTATTTTGTTTTAACTTTCTTTCTTGCTCACACAAGTCCATCTCTGACTGTTAAGAGATTTGATTAGAGAAAATTAAATGTAAGAGAGGCCACAGAGAGATGAGAGTAGAGTTTCTTTCAGGAACATTCAGAAATAAAGACCTCCATTAGCTTTCTGAAGGAGAGCTCTGAAGGATGTTCAGTAATGTAGATGTCAACTTGACCAAACACTCAAGGATGATTGCGATAGTAGGCAGGAACAGTGTCCAACAAAACAATTTTGACTATTATGGCTTCCATCTCTGAGTTTCCCTAAATGGTTCAGCCAAAAGCAGACGAAGAACCAGGCTATGGAAGTCAAATACCTGAAATATCTCATCTGACTTAGAAGCCAGGTATCATGGGATGGATTCTGAGGGCTGAAAACTGCAAATTATGAATGCATAACTAGGATAGTCACTCTTTTTCCTGTGCAGTTGTACCTACAGCAAAAAGCCTATACCGCAGGAATCAGGTGATAGCAAGTGTGAGGATACCTTCCTCTAAATATAGGATGGACTATATTCCTATTGGCTAGCTGCAATCATTACACTTACCCAAATACAATAAGACCTTTATAAAGAACAACAGGACTTCTCCATTGATAATCAATATTCAAATGTAAGCAGCTGAGCACCAAACACATCTATAATACTGGCAACAGGAAATGCTAAGAAATTTTTAGTCTTTCTCTTAAATTCATCACTAGTAGCAAAAAAGATGCTGCTCAAATGAGCTATTTTTACTGTAACAACTTGACAAGCATTCAGAACAAGACATCATTAGATCTACCTATCTTAGCTATGTTTGTTTCCATTAAATGAAAACACAGCCAAATTTGCTAACCATTTACAAAACAATAATAATTAGAAAGATCTTTTTAAAAAACAGTCACTTTATGTTAAAAAACAAAACAGCATGCTATTGGTTCCATGGAATCATCGACATTGGCTTAGCATGGAAATATGGTCTGAATTGGATAACTAATCATTGAAACCACAAGTCATTTAGCCATATCACAATACTCTATGCGTCTCCCATACAACCAGCATTCACAAGACCATAGAAATGAGAGAGCTTTAATGCTACCTAAGCTAAAATGCTTACTATTCAATAAAGAACTTAATTTCCTTGAGCATACTGTTCCTGGTGTGTAAAATGCTGGATTGCAAAATTTGACTGGCCTACTAATTAATCTCAGTTCCTACAAAACAGAAATTTGAGTACACTTTTCCCAAATTCTCAACAATGTAATATTTATACTGTTATCATAAATAAGGCCTTAAATTATTAATTTCAGGGATTGAATTTCTCATGTCCTTTTTGAGTTTAAGATTCATTTTTAATGTATTAATAAAAAATAAATTATGCTTAGTATTTCATACTCAAGTAACTAGAGCAATGGCTAAATATTTTAAATTAGTTGCTTTAGGAGTACTTAAAGCATACAGTTTCTAGAAATGACTGTTTCTTTAGATGTACCCAATAGCCAAGGCTATATATTCATGTGGAAATATTTCAGATAAATTCTGATATGACAGTACACTTGTATATCTGATGCCACACTTAAATTTAGACCAGGGCTTTAGCAGAGTCCTCACTACTTCAGCTATTTGAAAATTCTTTGAAACTTTTATTTTACAAATGGGATCAGGTACACAAATCCATTCCTAATTCATACATGATACTTAACCAATATTAAAATTTTGAATTTTATGTCAGCCATTGGTACTGTTGTTTACAAAATGGGGAATTGAGTCTAATAAAAACCACATACATCTTCGATAAATATGTCTGCATTCACATTGTCCTCTTTATATATCATTATTATCATTCAGTTTTAAATCTCATGCAGTAAAACTAAGTCTTTTGCAAATATGGTATTAGTAAGGCAAATTCATGTAGTCATAAATCTATCACTTCAGTCAAGACATAAAATATTAAAGCTCCTGCAAACTCTTTATGCTGCCTCTATGTCATCAATGCCTCCAGTGACCTCAGTTTGTGTCACCCACTAATCTGTTCAGATAATTTTGACATGTAAAGAATCCCACATATATTATATCACACAGCATGCTGTCGTGAGCTTTGCTCTTTTCATTCAGCATGTTTCATTTCAGTTTAATTAGGGTGTTTAATAGTTTGCTCTCTTTTCTTTCAGAGTTTTATTTGATTGTGTGAATATACCTTCCTTAAAACATTACTTTATTGATGAACATCTAGGTTCTTCCAAAGTTTTGGTAGTTATGTACAAAGTGGCTAAGAACATTTATATAAAATTTTATTTGTACAAATAAGGGTTCACCACTTTTGCATAAATATCTAGGAGTGGAATTGCTGTGTCATATGCTTAAGTGTTTGTTAAACTCTAAGTCATATGCTTTCAAACACAACATTCAATGAAAGGTAACATTACTTCATTTCTTCATCTGTACTGAAAATGTGATCAATAGGTGTGTCATTTGTACATTTTTATAGTTACATTACTTTTCATTTTTTTCGTGGCTAATAATGCTGAACATTACTCATATACTCATTTGCCATCTGTGTATTTTGTGTGTGTATTTTGTTCAACTATTTTAGCTATTTTTTAAATCATCACTGAGTTTTCAGTGCTCATTACATATACTGAATTATGTATGCTTTATTGTCTTAAAGGCTGCCTTTCTATCTGATAACGTTTTTTAAATTAGTATTTTAAATATTATTTTATTTTACTGTTATTTTTAGATGATTGTTTTTTCATGAATGAGAGAAAGAAAGGAAGTGGATTTGGATAGGAGGGAAGGTAGGAAAGATCTTGGAGGAGTTAGAGAATAGAAAATAATCATGCAAAAAATCTTTCAATTTAAAATTTAAAAAACAAATAAAAGAACTTGAGAGGGAGTAAGGTGCTGGGCTTGCAGAGGGGAGGGTCTTGGTTGCAGGGAGGAAATGTGGAACAAGTTGGTGGAAGGAAAGGGTAGTTATAATTTTATATTTTAATTGACATTTGAATATATATTTCACAGAGCAGGAATTTTAATTTTGTTAAAGTCTATTTCTATTTCTCCTTTTATTAATTGTGCTTTTTTATATTAATTACGCCTAAAATTGACTATTCTATATCCTATACCTTTTCACATGAATTTTGGAATTAGTTTGAAATCCTGCTGTGATGTGTTTGTGATTATACTGAACCAATAGATCAGCTTAATGGAATTCATATGTTAGCATTATTGTGTCTCTTAATTCATTAATATATTTAGTTACAATTTGATTTCTTGTTTTTCAGTACATGTTTCAAACACAGGTAATATTAAATTTATACTAATGTGTTTCTTATTTGCCAGTAGGGTATTACAATAAATGCTATTAATTTTTGTATATCCAGTTGTTCATTGATATTTTATTGACACACAGTAATTTTAGTACTTTGCACAGTTCACATATCACTTCTAGAAGCTTTTTTCTGCCATTTACACAGATAGGCTTACTTCTTCTTTTTCAATATTTATGGCTCTTATTACAGTGTAGTTGCCTTACTACACTGGCTAGGAGCTACAGTGTGATTTTTTTTAAATAACAGTAACATTTTCTCCTTGTGTTTTATTTTAGAG